GTCAGTGCTAACATCTTTGATAGAGCAAAGTACTCTGCATGCTAACAAAAGGAACATAAACAGCGAGTCGGCCAGCAATCCTTGACCTACAATGGTGTCTAACCTGCAAGATGTGCTAGGGCATTGGTGGCACAAAACTTGTAAGCAGGTACCAACTAATACCTGACTTGACTTAAGGCCAACTCGACAAGATGAAACCCATATCCAGCATTGCTTTGATGACCAAGAATCCAAGACTAGATAACACAGGGACCTAGAGTAAGACCAAATATTACTGTTCTAAGAAAAAAAGCATCAACATGATTCCTAATGACCTTCTACTGTACTCAAAGATCAGTGCCTTGTTCAGCTATCATCAAGAGAAGCAGATGGGAACAAATGCAGAGACCCACAGGCAGACATGCAGAAAGTAAAACACCTTGGAACACTCAGCCCTAAACAGGATGTCTCCCCTCAGGGCTCAAAGAATCCCATGAAGAGAAGGTGGAAAGAGCACAAAGGCCAGAGGGATGGAGGACACCAGGAACTTAAGGTGTAAGTCAACTTGATCCAAGCTCATATGAACTCAGAGACCGAGGCAGCAGGCACAGGGCAGCATCAGGTCCTCTGCAGGTCTGTTGTAGCTTCCAGTTTAGTTTTCATGGGATTCCCGAGTGTGTGCATGAGCAGGTGTCTGAGTCCTGGGCCTCTCCTGGGCTCGTTCCTGCTGTTTGTCCTGTCTTAATTCTGATGTGATAGTTTTTGTTTTGAGGCAGTTTCTCTGAAGCTTTGGAGCCTTTCATGGAACTTGCTCTGTAGACCAGGTTGGCCTCGACTCAAGGAGATCCGCCTGCCTCTGCCCCCTGAATACTGGGATTAAAGGTGTGTGCCACTGCTGCCTAACTAGTTTTGTTTTCTAACAGTATGCAGAAAGGAAGTGGATCGGGAGGGGAGGGGAGTGGAGGTGAAAGGAACTGGGAAGATTAGGAGGGGAAATAGTAATCAGTATATATTATGTGGGAAGGGCCTCCTTTCAATAAAAGGGGAGGAGGAGCTTGGGGTTGGGAGAGAACCAAACAGGTATGGTGGCACGTGCCTCTAATCCCAGCACTTAGAAGTGACCACAGGAAGATTTAGAGTTCGAGCTTAGAGTGAATTTGAGGCCAAACTGAGCTACATGAGATCCTGCCTCAAACCAGAGATTAGAGAGATGCTCTTCCAAAGTTCCTGAGTTCAATTCCTAGCACCCACATGGTGGTGCACAACTGTCAGGAACGACAGTTCTAGGGATCCGGTGCCCAGACACCAGGCATGTGGTGCACAGATATACATACAGACACCCCCCTCCAACAAAAGACAGCAAAAACTTTTTGGAGATGGCTCACTGATTCAGAGTACTGCTCTTGAAGAGGACCCAGGTTCAAGTCCCAGCATTCAGCTCACAAGCTCCATGAGAACCAAAGATTCTAGCTTCCAAGGGTACTTGTGCATACATAAAACACACATACAAACAATTAGATGTAAAAAAAAATTCTTTGGGGCTAGAGGGCTGTGCCAGAAGACCTGAATTGAGTTCCCAGGTCAGGCGGCTCACAGTCAGCCTGTAACTCCAGCACCAAGGGGATCTGATGACCTCCTTCCTCCAGCACCTGACACACATGACAAACCCTCGCACGCATGCATAAAAAGAAAATGTTTATAGGATTTTAAGCCGGCCATGGTGGTTATGAGGCAGAGGCAGGACTGCCACAAATTTAAGGTCAGTGTGGATATACATAGCAAGTTCTAGGCCAGTAGGGTCTCCCTAGTAAGTCTGACTCACCCCTTACTACCCTAGCTCTGTCCAGGGTGCTGCTGTTAGAATGGCTGTTCTCACACTTTCTCCAGCCAGTGTGATTCCTTGAAGGTTCACCTATCTTTAGCCCTCTACATGGAACCTGCAGGATTTACTCAAGTAACATCTATTTCAAGAATGACTTTCCCAACTCTTGGGAGGCAAAGGCAGGTGGATTTCTGTGAGTTTCAGCCTAACCAGGGCTACACAGCGAGACCCTGTTAAGAATGACATCTTGGCAACCCTACTTTACAATCCCCTCGTTTTATCTTTACAAAGGCTGCATCAACAGGAGCTGGTGCACAAGGAGCTAAGGCGCTATAAACAGTGGGCACTGTCTAGGTTGCTGCACCTGGCCTGACCCTAAGCCAAGCCCCAGTAACAGGTGTCGGCAGTTCAGGAAGGTGGAGTGGCAGCTAGGTAAGGAGCCAGAACACTGGCTTCAGTACTCAGCCTGCCATCACCTGGTTACTAACATTTCATTGTCCCTAGTACCTATCACAGAGCGTGTCTTAGCAGGCTCTGAGGGCAAGGGTATTAGAGGTGACTCTGAGTCTATGGCTTTGGCCTGCTACCGAAAGGCAGAGGCAGTATCTCTCTGGACATCAGTGTGAGGCCAAGGAAGGATGACTGAGGCTGGGCGTGGCCCATCAGCCCATGTATGATTTAGGGAGAGGGGACCGCTTGAACTGGGAGTAGGAAAGGCCTTGAATATCAAACAAGGATATCAGCAGAAAAGGTGATAGGAGCCATTGAAGGTCTCTACTAAAGGGATTTGGAGAGCATAGGAGCGAGCATTGTGAGGCCCCTTCTGATGAAGCTGTGTGTCACTGTCCTGAGCAGACAGAGATGAGGTGGGCTCTGGGAGTACACATCATAAAAGACCCCATGTGTCCCCACTACCCCAGCCTCACACTCCTATTGTTGAGACTCCAGATTCACAACTGCACCTTTTGGATCTCGTTACTCCAAGACAGCATTGCAGCTGCCTGGGGCCTGGCCTCCAATACCCGCTCTTCACTTAGTCCCTTTTGTACCTGTCTGCAGCGCTTCTACCCCACCACCTCTCCATCCACTAAGGTCCCCTGCTTAAACTTGGAAAACTCAGGGCTGGAGAGATGGCTCAGTGCTTAAGAGCACTGTGTGCTCTCCCAGGGGACCCTGGTTCAATTCCCAGCACCAACATGGCAACTTATGACTGCCTATAACGCCAGTTCCCAGGAATCCCATACCCTCACACAGATGCATGCTGGCAAAACATCAGTGTACATAAAATAAAAATAAATAATTAAAAAAAATAAACTTGGAAAACTCAAACCAAGTCACTCTCGTAGAGGACTCCCAGCAGGATAGATACTCCTCCCTAACAGCTTTGAACCTTCATCAAGGGAGCAAGCATACAAATAGCTTATTAAATAAGAGTTGGACCTGGTAGCAGAGGCCTCTGATCTCGGCATCGCAGGAGACTGAGGGGAATCAAAAGCCCAAGGCCTGCATTGGTAACTTACTGAGATCCTACTACCTAACTGAAAGCTAAAACAGAAGTTGCAGTCTACAGTGAGGCAGGAGGATTACCCAAGTTTCACACTATCTCCAAACTAAGATAAAAAATGAGGTTGAGGCTGTAGCTCTGTAGAACAGCCCTCAAGTAATGTGGGTTCAATCACCAGTACTTCAAAATAGTAAAAATAATCAATAACCCCCAACACTTGAAAGGCAGAGGCAGGTGGATCCCTCCATGAGTTTCAGCTATATAGTAAAAACCCTGAAAAAAAAAAAAAAACTGAAGCCAGGTCTAGGTATAGGGCCCAGCACTTAGGAAGTTAGGGCAAGACAATCTTTAGCAAATTCAAGGCTTATCTGAGGACCTTGTCTCAAAAGTTAACTTAGAATACTGAACAGTAAACATGAGACATCAGATAAAATGTTCCCCTTCGGGCTGGAGAGATGTCTCAGTGGTTAAGAGCATTGCCTGTTCTTCCAAAGGTCCTGAGTTCAATTCCCGGCAACCACATGGTGGCTCACAACCATCTGTAAAGAGGTCTGGTGCCCTCTTCTGGCTGCAGGCACACACACAGACAGAATATTGTATATATAATAAATAAATAAAATAAATATTTTTAAAAAAATGTTCCCCTTCAGAGGAACTGGCTGAGGTTTTAAGCATCTTTATATTGATGGGGCCAGGTGTGGTGATAGGAAGGGCACAACTTCCAAGCCAACCTGGACTGCATAGGAAGATCTTGTCTCAAGATGCTAGGGAGATGGCTCAGAGGTTAAGAGCACTAGCTGCTCTTCCTGAGGTCCTGAGTTCAATTCCCAGCAACCACATGGTGGCTCACAACTATCTGTAGTGAGATCTGGTGCCCTCTACTGGCCTGCAATTATACGTGCAGATAGAATACTGTATACATAATAAATAAATCCTTTAAAGAAAAAAAAAAAAAAGATCTTGTCTCAAAAACAAAGCAAGGGACCAGACAGAAATCTCAAGGTCCAAATCAGGAGCAGAAGGAGAGAGAGCACGAGCAAGGAACTCAGGACCGCGAGGGGTGCACCCACACACTGAGACAGTGGGGATGTTCTATCGGGAACTTACCAAGGCCAGGTGGCCTGGATCTGAAAAAGCCTGGGATAAAACCGGACTCGCTGAACATAGTGGACAATGAGGACTACTGAGAACTCAAGAACAATGGCAATGGGTTTTTGTTCCTACTGCACGAACTGGCTTTGTGGGAGCCTAGGCAGTTTGGATGCTCAC